GCTCATCAACCTAAGATGCTCTTCTCCATTAATGGCGTCGGTACCCTGATGCTCAGATGAGAAATTTTAGATTAGCTCTGACCTCACCCTCATTATTTGTATCTGATAAGATCACAGCTTTTCCCTCTGAAATGGCTTCCTTTTCCTCATTTACTTAGCTCAGACTATCATTTTCTCTCGCTTTGAATTTTATGGTCACTGTTAATATGGTTAAATTTTTTAAACACAGTATCAATACTTTACATGCATTTAGACATACAAAGGCTTTTGAGGTGGATGTTATCAATGTTATTTTATCATTTCACAGGTGAAAAAATGTGTAGAGAGATGAAGCAGTTTTTAACATTTTCACAGCCGCTACATCTTAGAGTCAGGATTTGAACTTAGATATGTTTGAATCCAGAGTCTCCTTTTAAGCCTTCCTAATTGACACAAATCTCCCTTTTAGTCCTAGTTCCAACCCACACTGCCTTCCCTTTCCTCTGAGTGATCTAATTATTCTTTGAGACTCATCTCAAACATTACCTCTTTATACATGTTCCAGATTCTGCTGGATAGAGGCAGATGCTTCTGCTGGGATTCCTCAGTAGTCTGTATACAGGTCAAGCTTGACCATTATTATTATGTTTATATTATTATATAATCAGCAGTCTCCACATCCCTGAGAATGATTTTGAGACAACATTGATTTATAACATTGTATATATTTTAGGAGAACGGGTTGACTCTTATACTTTGAGCTTATTTTCCTAAGCCACTCCAAAGGTCTACATTTTACTTCCCCAAGTTGTGCTTTCTGCTAGGCAACAGGAAGTGTCAACAGCAGCATTTCACGCCTCACTTACAACTTAAATTTAGATGTCAATTTTCATCTTTTGTGACTGAGGATGGGAATTTAAGGTCCTAGATCTGGGAAAGATATCTTTCTTCGGCAGTGGGTCTTGCAATTTTCTTCAAATCACAGCCATTATGTCTTTGAAGAAATCTTTATGTATCTCTTACTTGTACTAATTCATCCAAAATTGGTAAAAGCTGTTTGTGATTGATGAAATGATAGTGTGACTGATGAATTATAAATAGAAAAGTGTTCATCTCTGCCAAGATACTTCAATCTGAATTATGCAAGTCTTTGCCACTATCTTCCTTTGGAGATTTTTGTTTTAAAGATTTATTTATTTACTTATACAAGAACCGGGGTACAGACCAGAAGTACGGGAGGGTGAGAGGATTCACCAGAGATGGAGCAGGGAACAAAACAGGCAGAATGAAGAAATACACTGCTGAGGGTGCAACAGGAGAGGTCTGCTGCACCATGTGGGACCCTCGCTAGCCGGCCAGGATCGAACCGGCGTTGCAGAGGCTGCGGACAGCTTCGCAGTGCTGCACTCAACTGCCTGTACCACCAGGGGAGGCCTGTCCTTTGGAGATATTTTTATGCAGACTTACCTTGCACATCTCCAGAGTTTGAAAGTGTATATTTAAAAATAGAAAAAAAGCATAAATATATCTAGGTTCTAGTATCAGAACTCTTACAATACGTTTTTAGCTTATTAATCTCAATGTACTAAGGAAAAAACAAATATCATATAAAATGTATTAATGTGGACATATCCTTATAGTCTTTTGATAGATGCCAACTTTTAAATTATTCTGAAAAATAAAATATTCCTTAATTAGAATACATCCTTGGAAAAATTGAAGATTTAGAATACTAAGTTAAGATTATTGGAAAACTATTTTTTTGAGGCAACATTGGTTTATAACATTGTCTATATTTCAGGGGTACAGATTGACACTTCAAATGTATCGCACTACATCGGAGAACTAATGACCCTCCATCGCAGTTCACAGAATCCCCTCTGTCTACCCTTTTCTCTCACCTCATTCCCATCCCTCCCATCCCATCTTCCTGAAATATAGATACACTGGAATACAACTCAGTTATAGAAAATGATAAACTCTTGCCTTTGGTGTTGACATAGCTGTAGACTCAGTTTTGTTGTCAGAATCCAAAGGTTTATTTTTGTTTTGTCTGTTTGCTTTTTTTCTTTATATTCCACAGATGAGTAAAATCATCCAGCATCTGTCATCTTTTTCCCTCTGATTTATTTCACTTGGCATAATCCCCTCAAGTTCCATCCATGTTGTCACAAATGACAAAACTTCTTTTTTTAATATTTGGTGGTATTTCATTGTGTGTGTGTGTACCTATCTATCTACATCTGTATCTATATCTATATCTGTATATATCTCACAACTTTTACAATCTAATCATCTACCAATGGACAGGAGTTATTTCCACACCTTGGCTATTGTAATAGTGCTGCAATGAACATAGGGATGTGGATATCTTTTCAAATTAGTGTTTTCATATTGTTCAGATAGATACCTATAAGTGGAATTTCTGGATCATTGTAGCTTTATTACAGGGCCACCCCGCTCTAAAATGGGTTGCCTGAATGTGGGTCCTCACCCGCACACTTAAAGGGGACTTAAACTACAGGCACACACTAAAAGTTAACAAAGGGCTTATTTACAAGGGAAGGGGAATGAGGAAATGTACAATTCAGGGAGAAAAGAGGGAGATAAAGTCTTAAATGCATCCTACCCATTCCCCTGACCTGGAATCCCAAGTCACCCACCCAGAGAAAATCTGCCTGGCCAAGAGCACGAGCCAAGTGAGCCCCCAACCCCACTAAGATGGCTGGTTTTTATTTACAAACAGAGAAAATGGCTGCTTAACTCCGCCCTTAGGTCCTTGCAACTTCCCTTTGGGGATCCTGGGATTTGTAGTTCCCAGGATCTTGATGGAATGGGGGTGGCATCCACAAAGCCTATATGGAATTCGCTCAGGACATTCTCTCCCCCTAACAGTTTTATATTTAAATTAAAAAAATTTTTGAAGAATCTCCATACTGTTTTCCTTAGGGACTGTTTCGGTTTATATTCCCACAAGGTATATATGAAGATTCCTCTTTCTCCACATCCTTGACAATACTTGTTTCTAGTCCTTTTGATATGGGCCATTCTCACAGGTGAGGCGGTATCTTATTGTAGTATTGATTCGCATATCCCTTGTGATAAGTGACAACGAACATTAAAACAACAGCAAGTGTTGGCAAGAATGTGAAGGAAAAGGAGCCTTTGTACACTGTTGGTGAGAATGTAGGCTGGCCTAGCCCCTATGGAAAAAAATACGGAGATTTCTCAAAATATTAAAAATGGATCTATGTGTCACCCAGCAATCCCACTCCTAGGTGTCTACATGAAGAATGCAAAAACAGTAGTTCAAAGGGATATATACATTTCTCTTTTCACTGCAACCCTGTTTACAGTAGTCAACTTTTGGAAACAACAGAAGTGCCCACAGACAAGTGAGTGGATTATAGCACATCTTCCTAAAATATAGATACACTGGAATACAACTCAGTTATAAAAAATGATAAACTCTTGCCATTTTTGTTGACATACGTGGAGCTGGAGGAGTGAAATAAGTCAGAAGGAGAAAAATAGATACTGGATGGTGTCACTTATGTGGAACATAGGGGGAAAAAGAGTTCTATAAAACCAAACCAAAACAAACCCTAGAAATCTGGCTGATGTTGTGCAATTTGAATGATAAGGGCTGGAGTGTTCTGAAGTTACTCAAACCCTGCGTGTTATGGCCAAGTAGCTACAACCTTTTCAACATGCCAGAAATATATTCTCTCACTGATGGGCCATGATGTCCGAACTATTGGAAACATATGGAAACATTTTTCTTCTAGCTTATTTTAGCTAGAGATCATCAGTGATATCTGATATCTAAGACTTCAACCTGTATTCTTTTTTTTTTTTTTAATAGAGGAATGCTTTTTATTTATTTGTTTGTTTGTTTGTTTCGTTTATACAAGCACTGGGTACAGTCAGAAGCGCGGGAGGGTGAGAGAATTCACCAGAGCCAGAGCAGGGAGCAGAGCAGGCAGAAGGCCCGAAGTACACTGCTGAAGGGAGCAGTGGGCGGCAGGAGAGGTCCGCGCGCCATGTGGGACCCTCCTCCAGTGGCCGGGGAGCAGCCCGGGATCAAACCGGCGCCGCAGAGGCCACGGGCAGCCTCGCAACCCAGCGCTCAACCGCTGCGCCACCAGGGGAGGCCCCTCAACCTGTATTCTTATTGGTATTTTTAAGAGAAAATAAAGTTCAGTGAATTAGATAAATTGGACTACTGTGGTAATAACTTCCACAACAAACTAGATACTGCATTACTTAGTCCTATGCTTTTTAAAGAAAATATACTCTTCCACAACTAATTCTTTTTTGCATAAATGAGCCCCCAAATATCCTTTTTAAAATAATCCTTTGCTTAATAAGAATTCTAGTAAATGTACATTTTCCTGTCATACAATAGTGGTTTATTGGCGTTTTGAATAAATGGTGCCATTTCAGTCAAATTTGAGATATTTCAGAAGTAGTTTTCATAGTAGAGCTAAAAATATTGAATAAAATTTTCCTACAGTTATTTCTTTGAAAATATGATGCTACTTTAATTTTTTAATCCCTAAAAAATAGAATATTTAACTATTTATGTGAAACATTTTCTCCAAACAAAGCTACTGAAACAGACATTGGATATTCTGACAAATACTAAGGAGTTGCTATAGTAGAACAGATAAAAACTCTTTTACCAGAAAAATGACTTTATTGTGCCTTTGAAAAAATATATTGATAAGCCTTTGCTTTATATTTGATTTATTGATGTTCAGGACCCAGATAAACTCACATTGTGAGGGAAGAAACTCTTAAAATTTTCTACTCTTATAGCATTATAAATATAAGAATAAATGAAAAAGTTAACACATTTTAATAGCTTAGAATCATCAGGAAATTTCACATGTAGAAGATATATGTGATATGGGAGTTCACTTATGAACATAATAGGAAAATTTAATATATATAATATCTCTCAAGAACATGTCTTTTTGCTATTGTTCATGGTTTAATTGGTTGTACTGTACCAACTCTGTCTACTAATTAAAGTCATTATGAAGCCTGTCAATAGAATACATCATGCTAGATACACAAGTCATATAGCTACAATTTTTTTTAGTTTTTTTTTAATTTTATTTTCATATTCCCCATACAATTGCAACCCCCTTATTTTGACCCCAATCCCTCCTTTCCCCACCCCCCACCCCCCATAGTGTGTCTCTGGTCATAGTTGTTTGTTAATTTTGATTTTTTCTTTCTTATATATATAGTTATTCTTTTTCCTGGTCCCTTATTTAGGTTTTCTAGATTCCTGCTATGAGTGAGACCATCGGTATTTTTCTTTTTCTTTCTGGCTTGTTTTACTGAGCATGATCCCTTCCAGCTCCATCCAATCTGCACATTATCACAAAACCATATCCTTAACAAAAAACAGCCATTAATTAAATTCTGTTACTGAAGTAAAACTTGTGAATATTGGTGTCATGAAGAGAGAACTTCTTGTTCTTTACATGTTAACTGAGCTATAAATTGTTATTCATATGTAAGGTTTCTAGAGTCCATGTTTTTGAGATTGATTTCTCTATGGGAATTAGGAATAAATTTATTGTTTGATTTCTTCCTTTATCTTTCTTTTCTATTTTTTTTTTTGATGAAAAGAACAAAGGCAGTACTTTCAATATACCATCTTCAATTTAAACTTCTCAGTGATGAACAAGAACTGTTGGACTGAATAGTCTTCAAAAGTTTCTGGTACATTTCTGACTTCAGAAACCTGGGATAGGAATCCCTTTCCATGTGCAAATACACTATTTTTTGAGCCTCTTCAAAACATGTTTGAGTGGGTTCTTGTATATTCCTGATGATATTTTCTCGAGTTGAGCTGTCAATGTTAATCTGAAAAGCGAAATTACATGTTGAGCATAAGTAGGCATAATTGAAGATAAGACACATAGAATGGAAATGTTTAATTTAGTTGGTATTTCATAGGTTTCTCAAAAGACTTGCAAGAGATAAACTCTTTGCTTTTTTAAAAGTAAGCATCCACTTCCACACCCCCAATTAGAAGAACAACAAAAAAGAAAACCCAAACCATAAGGTACAAGACCAGAGAAATCTCAGAAATCATTGCTTACTTGGGAGAATGTTAATGGTTTGTTAGCAAAGTCTACAAATGAGGAAGTTTATAAGATACAGGTCTTATTTATGGAAGAGGGAAGCTGGTGCTATTTTAAAGTTCATCTTCCTTTAATAGTCATCAGGGTTGATTTAATGGAATATGCCTCAAAAGGGGAAGAAAGTGAAGTAGAGACAGAGGGGGGAAGTGGTTATGTCAATAAACCAAGCATTTTCCAGACAAGAGTTTTAAGGAACAAGTCATTAATATAGGACTCTCTTGAGTGGGAGGAATTTCATAGACCATCTTCTATCTGTATCCCCTTAACAAGAATTTTCACCCCTCATTCTCTCTCCACCAGGAGGAGTCCCAGTGGTGTCTGTTACACTCATGACTATTTTCTTTTTGTGGTCCTAAGTGACTGGTAGTGATATCAGTGTGAGTGTTTGCTGTATTTGCTGGTGACACAGACTTTGCCCAACAGTGCTTTCATTATCATGCTTCCTTCTAGCAAAATCAGTTTATCTTGCAAGGACTTCTTTTTTAGAAAAACTTTTCTTGGAATTAAGATATTCTATGAGGAAAAGCTTTGGGGCCAGGCAGTTAAATTTTGAACTCTAACTTTAACATGTAACTGCTGTGTGACACCAAACAAGTTAGTTACCTTCTTGTATTCTGAGGTTTTTTTTTAAATCTGTAAAGTAAGGTTAGCGATACTGGCTTTATAGTATTGTTGGTGACACTGGATGCAAAGTGCCTGGAACATATCTGTGCTGGAGAGAGAATAATGCCTTTAAGGATCACTCATTCCCATCTGTCATCATTGTCCACTAGTTACCTCTCTGGGAGACTGAGGCTGGATGTAAATCTTATAAAGCTTCTTTGCTCTGGCAATTCTGCTCCATCGTGAGGCAATTTTCTTATAGGTTTCACATGCCATCCAGAATTTAATATTTTCATCACTGTGTTCCATTTTTAAGTATGCTGTATAGATTATTGGACCATCTAAAAGTGGAGAAAATCAGTTCATTTTGTAGGTTAAGCATATGAACAATATTTAATACAATTTAAACCTGAATCATGGTTCCCAAATTATTTAGCAAGTGAATACATGTCACAAAATATATGTACCCACAAACATGTCACATCACACTTAGATCTCTAGATGTGAAGCGTGTTGTGTTTTGCAATGCCAGTCAGTGGTGAGGGCTTCCTTTCATTTCTTTATTCTGAGTCACTGAGGGTGAGTGAGTGTAGGATAGAAGTCACAAGGACTCAGAAAAAAAAAGACTTAAATTAGTGGACAGAGCTCTGATTATGAAACTGATATGATAAATCTAAAGATCTCAAGTCAAATGGAGGGTAAGAGCAAGATTTAGAATCTAAATAGGCAGATCAAATTTGGAAGAAAAGTTCCAAGCCATCGAGGTCATAAATTGATCAGGTTGTGCAAACTGGATATTCAATCTAAGCAGGAGAATGTGGATAGATGCAAAATTCAACTTCATATTTGAAGTTAATGGTACAAACCAGAAATGTAAGACCAGGCAAAGAATGAAATTTATATGGGTATTGGAAACTGTACAAAATCTAGGTATGGGTATGTGCATCAAATGGTACTCCATTTCAGAGATGGTTATCCTCAACGCTGGTCTCAAACTACCTTTCCGGAGTGGGTAGATAAGGGCAACAAGTGAGAGCTTTCCTGATTGAAGCTCTATTTTGTAGGTGAATTTGAAGGATAGATTTAGGTGAGCCTCACAGATCTAATATATTAACAAGAAACTGGAAAGATCCTATATCCTCAAGATTCAAGAGAAATACTCTGAGATGAATATTAAATTTATTTTTGTGCTAGAATGTTTTCCCTTGGCATATATGCTAAATGAATTGCTACTGGATGAGACAACAATGTAACTTTCAGTTGCAAGTCATTGAGATGCGTGTGTTGGGATTCTGAATATGAGATCATCAGAGCTTCTGCATAGGATTTTGACTAATAATATCTTGATTGGTATCATGAACTATTTTAATAAATAACATTGATCAGATGGAATGACAATAGTGAGTAAAACCAATATTTTTGTGCATATTCACACATTATATCATCAATAAATCAACTTTTGTAGCACTAGGAAGTCAGGATACATGACTTCTTGGTTTCTACTACTTATCCAAAAGTAAAGATAATTAAGGTATTTTGTATTGGAGATAAAGAACTCAAGTAGAGGCAGATCCTTTCCAAATGTGTGTTTGGTTGGGGAAATCTGGCAATCTACAAGGAATGTGCCTAAACATATACAAAAATTGGAACGTGTCATTTGTTAACCATGTAAGCCAGTCAGTGGCATAGCTGCTATGACAATTGGAAGGAAGATGGATCGGAAAGAACGTCACTTGACTTGAGATGACAGATGAGGGGGGTAAAGCATGTACATAAATGTAACGGGGAATGTATTTTAGCTTTTCCCAGTGAGGAATATATTTTAGCTTAGATTTCAAACAAGAGGTTTATTTTCATACCAACTGACTTTAAGATGTGCCTTGCCTCATCATAGGCATAGAAAACCGGGACCAGAGAATACAGATTTAGTAATTGCTTCTATTAGAGAAATAGCTGAAAGAGTAAGCAGACAAAAAAAAAAATGCCATTTCTGGCTTAAAAAGTAAAGCTGGAAGCCAATTATTTGCAATGTGTATAGAAGGAAGCAGAGTTCTAAATAAAAAATAAAAAGCCAACTTTGTCCTTAGAGGGATTTTGACTGGGCACTTCATTAGGGACAGAAAATAAGCCCTAAAATAAAGAAATGAGCTATGTAATGGAAAACATGAGAGAGTAGATAAAATCCACAGATCCTGGAATGAGAGTTAGCCATCAGACTTCCTGGGTGGACTGAGTGGATGGCTGGAAGTGATTTGGAAATTTGTATTCAATTTCATATTATAGTATTCTGAACCTTTGTTTATATTTAGCTTAATTATATAATAAAATGTTTATAGATTCTTATTCCACAACCTGCCTGTGTCTGCATCTGCCTTCTCTTACTTTCCCTCTGATTGAGTGGAGGAAGGAGCTCTGCTTCTTTTTGGCCTGGCCAAATGATTCAACAGTCCTCAGTATATCCAAGTCCTTTGTTAGTGAAACCATCCATTTGCGGAGATATATGTTTTTATATACAGATCTTCCTCGGCCTATGATGGCATTAAATTCTGATAAACCCATCATAAGTTGAAAATATTCTAACTTGAAAATGCCCACTGGAATCTGCAATTCCTGCCCAGGATCCCTAGAGAATCAGACTGTGGTTTCTATTGAATGCACCAAGTCCATTGTCAAGTCCATGAGTTAAAATATTCTAATTTGAACCATCACCACTTGGGCACTGGCTGTACATACTTGATGGGATAGATTGTTGTGTTGTTCTCATTATTTCTTGCCCTTCCTGTAGAAGAATTATACTCCTATGTCCCATTTATACCAGCCTTGCCCACCGGACTTGTGTTAGCCAATGAAATTCCTGCAAAGTGCTATGTAATAGGTCCAGGCAGAAAGTTAAGGACCATCAAGTGACTCTGCCATTGTCCTCCCCCTGCTGTGAGGACACATTCTAAAAAAGAGCTTATTCTTTAGCCTGAAAGCCAGGGAAGAGAGGGACCAGAGCTGGAGCTGACTCCAGAGATATAATGTGAATAAGACATGAACCTTTCTTATAAATTACTGGAATTTTGATGTCATTTGTTACTGTATCACAGCAGAATGAAAACTAGCCTGGGCCATTCAAACTCATTTGCTATTTCAGACATTTGGGTGTGTAGCTTAGGGAAATTCCTGTGATTGGTATGTTTTCCAGCGCGTTACCTACATCAAGCTCAATTTTATGTTAGTCAGGTAAGCAACTAAACACACATTTGTGTAAGTGTTTCAGGAATCTTAGGAGTTATTAAAGTCAGAACTGAATTAACAGAGTTTAGAATTTCTGTTGACTCATACAATAAGGGAATGACAAGATGGAAAAACTTTTTCCAACTCAAGTAATGTAGCCCGATGTGACCCATTCTGGAGTTTTAAAGGACACTCATTTCTGAGCACGACACTCAAGAGATAATGATTCTTCTCGAATAGAGTGAGTAGGACTAGTCCACAGAATTTCTCACTGACAAGGACGCAAGAGAGGGATATGTCATACACAGCGTATGCCTTTTCCTGGAAGAATGTCCGTGGTGCGTGTGGGTCTCTCTAGGGTGTTCTTTTTCAACTAGTCACTGAAATTAGTATTTTTTTAACACAAGATGACACATGTCTGTATCGTGATGCAGAAGGGAACCATGAAGTCTCCCTTGTCTGAGTCAGGACAATGGTTCATTTTTTCCAAGATTGCTTTCGGCAAGGTGGAATGGCTCATGCCATGCATTAAATCCTACAGATGAGCCATGTAGCCACCTTCCACTCCTAAAATAGCCAAAACAATTTTTTTTTATATATGATTCAAAACTATAAAATATATTGACGGAAACTGAGGTGATACATTCCATGACACCAGTGATAAGGATCTATTGGTGTATGCATTTTCTATTCAGTCTCTACTACCAGGGGGTTACTCTGCCAGCCTCTGTGTGAAGTTTAAAAGTAAATCTTGTGTTTTACTAAAATTCTCTGGTTTGGCTTCTATGATACTTGTCACTTCTGGGTTTCTTCTTAGTTTTGCTGTATTATTATAAAAGTGCCTAAGTTCTGTGGGATGCTTTTACATACAGACAACTTCTGAGAAAGTAATTAATCATTGCTAAACATTTGATATATTTCCTTTTATTCTTTCAGCCTTTTGCATGTTTAACTGCCGGTATAACTAATTTTCCTTCATCTAAAACACAAATACACATACAAGTCATCTTATTGGCATTTTACTGTGAAAGCAATTTTGTATCACTCTTTTGTACTTAAATTAATATCATGTATCATGTCTACTTTTTACTTTTAAGGGTCTCAAAACAGTCCATTGCAGAACTAAACTGAAATATCTTTAGCTACATACTATTATTGAATACTTAGACCATTTTCTTTTTTATGTTATAAATTATTCTACCAGGACTATTTTTTTTTTGGAAGCATTCATGCTCAGTGAAATAAGCCAGAAAGAAAAAGAAAAATATTGGATAGTCTCACTTATAGGAAGAATGTAGAAGATCCAAATAAGGGATCAGGAAAAAAAAAGTAACTGTAATAAAGTAAAAAATCAAAATCAACAAGCAACTATAAACTAGAGACATTCTGCAGGGGGTGGGAGAAGGAAGTAGCATCAAAACAGGGGTGGGAAGAGCACAGGGGACCCTGGTGATGGTACACGGGTGAATGGGTGGTGGGGATTTCACAGGGACTATAACCGAGATGAAAATGCATACATTGTACAAAAATGAAAAATGATGTAAAAAATATATAAAATAAAATAATTTAAAAAATACAAGGACTATTTTGGATTACAAAGTTTTGCATCTTCAGTTATTTTCTTAGAATTATCTTAAAGGAATAAAATTTCTAACTTGATGATATAAAACTTTTGGAGATTCTTGATACCTAATTAAAATTGATTTCAGAAAGATTTCATTATTTTTCATAACCAGCAGTAGTATTGAAACATCTACTCACCCCAGCCTGATGGGGTGAAACCAGTAACTTGTAATTGTTCATTTTGTATTTTAAAAATATTAATGCTAAAATATTTTGTTTTTCTTACTATTACCTATCTTTTTGGTGAGTCTCAATTTTTAAAGTCTTTTTTAAAAAGATTTATTCATGCATACAAGAGCTGGTGTGTAGGTCAGAGGCTTAGGGGGTGAGAAGATTCACCAGAGACAGAATGGAACACAGAACAGGCAGATTGAATGAAATACACTGCGGAGGGGAGCAGTGGGGGAGACAGAAGTCTGCTGCACCATGTAGGTCACCTCCCTGGCCGGGGATCGAACTCGTGCTTCAGTGGCTGCGGATAGCCTCATAGTGCTGCATA